GCCCCCCCCCCCTCACAGGCCCACCCCCCCACACGCGCAGACTGCAGCTGGAGACACTCCCATCTCCGCTGGAAGCTCACTCACTTTCAAACTCTGGTCTTGAGAAAATGTTTTACCTTCGAATGTTTTGAAACCCGCTTTCCTCAAGGCCAGGAAGACATGTATGGAGCATGTCTGTGTCTGGGGACTGTGCTGGGGCTGAGGTGGGGGATACAAGTCCGAGCACGCGGGGAGGCAGACGTGCGCACCGGTAACGTGGGGCCTGAAGGGATCCCTCACTGCGCTGGGAACGCCAGGGCCGCCAAGAGAAGATGGCACGGAGCCCAGGCTAAAGGATGGGCAGCACTGGGGTAAAAGAGAGGCGAGGAGAATGGGGGGGGGGCATCAGGTGGGCAGGAAAGGGCAGAGAGGAGTGTGACAGTGACAGCGAGCACTTCTGGAAGCTGCAGGGGGCTGAGAGGGCATTCACAGTGAGGGACCTGGTGGCACAGATGATGGCTTTCACTCACCCTGAGGCTGGTGCGGGCGCTGAAGCGCTGAAGGGCTTGACGCCAGGGAGTCACATAGTCTGGGTTGCCTCACTCACTCACCCCGACTGGAGCCAGCACCCCGACTGGAGCCAGGGGATTGAACCTGCAACTAAGGTACCTGTGACCCTTTGGTGCCAGGGTCAGCACTCTAACCACTGAGCAACACAGGCCAGGGCTTCCATGGTCCATTCTGGAGACCTGCTTGGGAGGTGGCACTGGAAGGACACAGTTGATTGTCTGGATGCAAGAATGAGAGACAAGAAACCAGAGTTGGTTCCAGGCTCATGGTGATGGAAATTCTCACCAAGGCAGCCCTTCGTTCCCTTTCTCGGAATTCTCACCTAGAACTTTCAGAATGACGCTCATTGGGTGGCCTATGCATTTGGTGGCTTTTTGGCACAAGTGTGACCAGCACCCTTAGAGTGTTACCGTCTGCTCAGAGGACTGTCCCCACACCCCACCGCCCGCTGCGCTGGCCCAGCAGCAGCGCCTGCGCCACGTGAGGCTGTCACGGAGGGCTGGACCGTGGTGGCCTGGGGGGTGCTGCCTCCAGTGGGGCCGTTGTTTTCTTTCCCCCAAGACTCAGAAGGTGGCCTGCGGTGCTGCGGGCTGTGCTGGCCTCCGACCTGGGAGAACAGGTCCATTCTGATGGGCAGGACGGCCTGCTCTGCCTTGTTGGACACAGGATCCCAGACAGTGCATGCTGGGGAGAGCCTTGGCCCGAGTGACCGTCTGAGACAGAGCAGCGGGCACAGGATCTGGGCTCCAAGCCCCCAGGCCCAGCTCCAGCTCCCATGCGCGCACTCCTCAAATGCCTCCTATCCCTACTACAAATTCCCACTTTTCAGATCTTTCAGCAGCCTTAGCAGGTGTTTGCTTCTTGCCATCAAATGTGTCCACTACGGCAGTGCCCTGCTCCAGCCTCTGTGGCCCGTGAATGCCCGCTCCGGCCTCTGTGGCCCATGAATGCCCGCTCCGGCCTCTGTGGCCCATGAATGCCCGCTCCAGCCTCTGTGGCCCGTGAATGCCCGCTCCGGCCTCTGTGGCCCGTGGATGCCCGCTCCAGCCTTGTTGGCCCGGTCTTTGCCCCTTGGGTTGGTTTACGACCTGTTCCCAGGGCACAGCATGGACACCTGAGGCAGCAAAAAGAGGAAGCAGCCCTCTGGCATGCTGTTTTTCTGAGGACAGCTGGACATTTCTGTTCCCAGAGGGTGGCCACAACTGGTGTCCTCCCAACTGCTTTCTGGAGGGTGAAGTCCCTCCCCTTGTCCAGGTCTCACCCCCACACTCCCCTCTCCTAGCTCAGGGCTGTAGGGTTTAGGGACCATCAAACTGAGAATGTGTGAGCCAGGGGTTGGGAACGTGGCCCCAGGAAGTGTTCCCAAGGTAACCATGGTTAGCTGATCCCAGGTCAATCAAAGAATTTCTAGGGCACAGGGCCCCAGGGGGTAGCAAGAGGAAGGGACCTGCACATATGCCCCATGCCCAGAAAGGCATGAATAAAAGGAGGCAGAACAGCACCAAACGTGGAGCCCCGTCCCACTTCTAAAAGCCCTCCAGCCTGCTGCAGGGGCATGGCTGCTGCCAGTGAGCCCAGCCCCCACACAGCCCATCTGCTCGGCCCTCCAAAGAACTCAGTTATACCAGCAGTTTCATTTCCTGCTCTGTCCAGGGCCCAGTGCAGCCCCTGAGCCCTGCCTGCTCTCCCAGGTGGAATTGTGGGAGGGGAGGAGTCGGGCTGGCCAGCCAGTCTGATGACAGATTGCTCCATCAAGATTCTGCTCGGGGCCTGGCCCGGTGGTTCAGTTGGTTGGAGACCATCCCACACACCAAAAAGGTTGCAGATTCGATCCCTGGTCGGGTGAATGCAGGAGACAACATCTCTCTCTCTCTCTCTCTCTCTCTCTCTCTCTCTCTCTCTCTTCCCCCCTCCCCTGCCCCCTTCCTCTTTCTACACACCCTCATGTGAGGATTAAAAAGAGAGAGAGGGAATTACTTGGGAAGGACAGGCCTGGTGTGGCCACTGACTCCGGACGCTCCCCTCTTCCTGCCTCACCTTGTCCACTGCCAAGCGGGCAGATTCAGTGTCTTCATTAACTCTCTGCCCTCAGCTAAGAAAGAGGCTGGTACCCTTGTCTTTTCTTGGAGAAAACGTGTCTTTGAGTTAAGAAGAGAGGAAGGGTGAGAGGCAAGCCTGGGGGCCCGGGCTCCTCATGGCCCAAGCCCCAAGGGTTTCTAGTGCTCCCCAGGAAGCTAGGACATAACTCTGCTGCCCCCAGTGCGCCCAACTCAGAAAATACCAAAAAAAGCCCAGTCGTAGCTACTAATCGCTCCATAAGTGGATGGGATTCAGCTGGGAAAGGGGTAGTTCCATCCTGCTGGTGGCAGAACTGAAGTCAGAAAGCCATCGCCAGGCACCAGGCGAGTAACTTTTTAACAGCTCCACTTGGAGGAGGAGAGGAAGAGGAGGGGCAGGCAGGCGCTGGGGAGAGCAGCCCTTCCTGATGGCAGCCTGGGGGCGGGGCGCCCCAGAACAGGTGCAGGGCTCAGTGAGTCAGACTGGAAGGGTGGGAGTTGGGCACGGCCTGCATTTATGCGGCGGTGCCAGGGCAGAGTGGTCAGGGGCCTCCCGCCATGTACTTGCCTTGGGCCTCCAGGGGCAGAGCTGGCCCCCCACCTCCCCCTCACCCGAACCTGAGGAGCCAGGACACCCCCAGCCCGTCCCGCAGCGATCCTCACCTCTGAGTCACCCTTAGATGAGCACCCCGTTATTAACAGGACTCTTCCTTCCGTGACTGTGCCTCACCCCCAGCTCTAAGAAAACTGCGGGGCAGCGATGGGAAGGGTAAGGATGTGCTGCCGACTTGGCCCTGACTCAGATTTAAGTGACCCCCTCCCCCCTGCCTCCCCATGAGCAGCAAAAACCCCTGAGCAACTCACTCACCCCGAAAACCAGGGCAGCAGCCCCTCCCTCCAGGGCTCCCATGGAAACTCACAAACTCCTATTACTTCTTTGGACACAAACAACACATGTGTCGGGCAAATAAACTGGGCAGCAGAGACGAGCAGAAGAGAAGGAAAATCGCCTGTGATTTTAGCGGATTTACCCACAGCTGCTCGGGTTTCATGCCTTCCCTCGCTCACTGTTACGTCATCAGCCATTTGCTCGCCTCTGTGCCCTGTGAGTATCTTCCAGGTCAAAGAGCCCGTGGACGACAGGGGCCACATGCTGACTTGACAAGCTCAGGGGAGGCCTGCTTGGCGGTCTTGCAAACTCGGAGACCTAAAATAACCACAAAGGATGGTCTGAAATTAAACTTTAACTAAAAGCAGTTATGGTGGGCAGTTACGTCCTAGGCCAGTATATTCACTGACAAGGTCAACCTTTACCTTAACTGAGCCTGTCTTTTTGCATCTGTGATAACATACCCTTGAAATGTCTGGGTAACTTGTAACTTCCCTTTTTCTGGAGCCCCTGGGGCACAACCAAATGTGCTGGGCCCCAAGACAGATACCACAAATTCCTTCACTATCATGTTAATTGAATTTCATGTAACTCACCTATGTCCCTCCTTTGATTGCAATGCATAAATACGGATATAACCCCTGCCATTCTCCGGAGCACTATCTCAATTGGTTGAGGTTCTGCTTCCCGCCATATGTCGACAGTTTGGCTCAAATAAACTCACAAAAATTCTTTACAGGTTTCAATGTTTTTTTTTTTTACGTTAACAAGCCATTTCCACAGCCGTTTCTTTAATGACTGCTGGTGTGCCATGTGAGATGCTCATTTTACCGATTCCCTCGTCGGGTGGCCATCGGGGTGGGTTTGGTGTGATGGATAATGCTGCCAGGACCAAACCATTCGCTTGGCGTATTTCCCCAGCCACAGGCGGTGTCTCAGTATCAGGCACACAGCCATTTAGAAAGCAGAGGCCTGTGCAGACACATCGCGGGGCACAGCCTGGACCAGTTCTCTCTGCTGTGACTGGATGGGGCACTCCTGGGCCAGGGGGCCCACCTTGATGGGAATCTGCCCACCCAAAGGCCTGGGCCTGCCTGGGTGGCCCCTCCGAGAGCCACTCGGGTCAAAGCCTGGTGGCCTGTCTGGTGCAGAGGTGTGGGTGAGAGGGCCGTGGGCCCCAGAAGGAGCTGGGAGAGGAGCCTGGCTCCTGGGCCTGGAAGGCTGTTCTTGCCACCCTGGGGCCAGGGCTTCCCTGCGGGGCTGTTTTCCCAGCCCCCAGTCTGGGCTGCTGGTCTGAGCACAGAATATAATATTTGCAATTGGGCCTCACTAGCCAATTCAGAGCTACTGAGTGCGCCTCTAACCCAGCTCAGAGGCAGCCCTCCCAGGAGGACCTGGGGAGGGGCCAGAGCGCCAGGCTCCCACACCCCAGGTGCTGAGGGCGGTCCAAACAGGCCCTGCCCCCAACTCCAGGCCTCCGCCCTGCCCTTCCAGCGCTCTGGGCGGGCGCCCAGGTAGCTCTGGAGCCCAAACCCGTCAGGCCAGTTTTGAGATCTGAAGGACGAGGCTGGTGAAGGATGCACGGCCGGCCCTGTGCTCCTCCTGCACTCTCTGCCGCCTGAGCCCACATCCGCCTGCCCTCGGCCGCGGGCGACCTCATGGCGTCTCTTCTGGGCCTGGGCCTGGGCCTGATGCTGGCCCTGAGCCTGCCGGGGGCGCGGGCCACGGACTGTGAGTCCCTTGGCCCGGCTACGCGCCTGACCTTCACGCGGGCAGCTAGGGACCGGTGGCTGGCCCCTCGCGTGCGCGCTCCAGGGCCCCTGGACCACCTCTACGGCACCGTGCGTCGCTTCCTCTCCACTGTGCAGCTCAACCCCTTCCCTGCCGGTGAGTGTGCTCTCCCCAGGCGGGCCCCGGGCGGGACGGGCCCTGGCCAGCACCCTGTCCCCTTCCATCGTGGAGCAGGGGTTTTGGAGGGCAGGATCCCCAGCTTTCCCCACCCCCATCTTCCTGCCCCAGGGGCATCACCTGGAGACCCCCCAGGACCTTCCTGTGGGATGTTGGGGGAGCCCTTTTCCTCTCCGAGCCTCAGTCTCTCTGACCTAACATAGCGGCTACGTTAGAAGTTCCCAAAGAGCTGGCTAGGATTTCCTCTGGGTCTAGTGGTGCTAGGGACTGGGAGGAGCAGGAGGGGCTGCAGGGCCCTTTCAGCCTGTCCCCTGCCTCCCAGGGGAGGAGCTGCTAGGCCAGGCTCAGCTCCACTCTTCACCAGGCCGGTGGCCTGGCTTCCTGCTGCAGGGCCAGCCTGTAGGGCCCAGGAGGAGGGGTGGCCAGGCCTGCCCTCAGCCACTCCATCCCGAGGCCTGAGCATGATGGCCAGGGGCTGTGGTGACACCGCCTTCTCCCAGGGTGCCTTGGTGGTGGGAGGAGACCCTCCAGAGAGCCCACCTCTCCTGGTGTGGGGGCGGGAACAGGGGCAGAGCAGTCCCTGCCCCAAACCCCAAACCCCCAGCCCCCGGCCCCCAGCCCCCAGCTTGCCTCTTTCCGTAGAGCTGGTGAGGAACTTGCTGAATGAGCCGGCCTCCGTGAAGGTGGATGAGGTGAGGCTGGGCAGGGTGGACAGGGACTTCAGGCTGAGCCTGGGGCCAGCAGGGGGAAGGCCCCCTCAGCTCAGCCCACCTTGCTGGCTGTCCCCCAGGGTGGGTCTTGGGCATCCCTTCCCCTCTTTCATGAGCCCTGCAGTCAGCAGACCTGATTGCAAGCCACAGCTCTGCCCTTAACCGGGGTTTGCAGTGAGCCCCGACCGCCTGGAGGGCAGTTTCCTCCGTTGTAAGGCGGTAAACAACAATACGGACACGTGCAACCTGCATAGGTTCGAGAACGTTGGTGAAGGTGCCCGCTGGGTGCATCCGCCCTCCTGGTGGCCCTGGGGTGTCCTGCAGGGAGGCTGGCTGGTGGGTGAGAACGGCCTTGCCGCCCTGCCCTGCAGGTGGTGCGGTACGAGGCTGGCTACGTGGTGTGCGCTGTCATCGCCGGCCTCTACCTCCTGGTGGTGCCCACTGCTGGGCTCTGTTTCTGCTGCTGCCGTGGCCACCAGCGCTGTGGGGGCCCAGTGAAGACGGAGTACAAGGAGATGGCCTGTGAGCGCGGCACCCTCATGACCTTCCTGCTGCTGACCACCCTCGTGCTGCTGTGAGGGGTGCCCGGCTCAGGCGGGAGGGTGGGCCCAGGCCCCGGTGCCCAAGGACATCCAGCGAGTTCCTTCCTCCGCCCCATCCCACAGGATCGGTGTTGTCTGTGCCTTTGTCACCAACCAGCGTGTGCATGAGCAGATGGGCCCCAGTGTCGAGGCCGTGCCCGAGACGCTGCTCAGCCTCCGGGGCCTGGTCTCTGATGTCCCCCAGGTGAGCACCGGGCAACCTCTCATCCACATGAGCACCAGGCCTAGGCAGGTCAGAGCAGAGTGGGTCCTTCCAACATGTACTTGGCTGCCCCCTGCTGGAGAGTCACTGTACTACATAAATGCACCCCTGAGTCAGGGGAAGGGCTGGGAAAGGATGGAGGGGGCCCTGTCAGGTGACCACCCCGTGTTGCCTAGGAGCTGCAGGCGGTGGCACAGCAATTCTCCGTTCCCCAGAATCGCGTCTTGAAGGACCTGGATGGTGAGGATTAGAGCTGGCTGGTAGCCTGGCCAGCCCCTGGGGCCCGCTGCCCAGGTCTGTCTTGAGGGGCCCTGTCATCCCCTCATCCTGGGCTCCCCCTGGGAACACCCTCTCAGAGGTGGGGACTGGGCCCAGCTGGGCAGTCAGGCTGCTGCAGACGCTGGGGAGGCTGGATGGACCGCAGGGAGGGCTCCCAGTGCCTGGGGACCAGCCCTCAGACTGCCCTGTGCTCTTCAGGTGTTGCCGGGAGCATCGGGACCGCGGTCCACACCCAGCTCCGGAGCGCGGTCTATGAGATGCTGGCCTCGCTGCTCAGCCTGGGCCAGGGTGAGTGGGGCCAGCGTGAGTGGGACAGCGCCCAGGGTGGTGTCTCCTGAGGCCAGGCCCCACCCTCCCTCGGCCCTGGATTTCTTTTGCCGCCTTAGCCAAGCCCCACCCTTGGCTTTGTCCTAGGATCCCCTTGGGCACCCTTGCCCAGATCCTGCCCGAATGTGCCCTGGGGCCATTTCCTTTATAACTATTGGGGTTAGAGGTCAATGTTGGCAGCTCCCTTTGGCTGAGTGGGAGCGGGGGCGGGGGGGGGAGGGTGATGTTCTACTTCCCTCCAGGCCTCTGAGGGAACTGCTCAGTCAAGATTTGGGGGGTCTCTCAGCCCTGCAGGTCTCCGTGGACCACCTCCGAGCCCTGAATGCCACCCTCCTGGAGCTGCGGGAGGGGCAGCAGGACCTGGAGCAGGCTGTTTCGGTGCACCGAGAGCGCCTCCGCGACCTGCTGCAGAAGCCCAGCTGCCGGGACTGCCAGGAGACCCTGAGCCAGGCCCATGGCCTGGAGCTGGGAGCTGACTTCAGCCAGGTGCTGGCCGGACAGAAGCCGTTAGAGCGAGGGGCTGCTCTGCCTGCTGCCCCTGGAGTCGCCCTGGGCCCTGTTTCCCGAGGCAGACCCCCATGCTTCTCCACCCTCCCGGGGCTAATGCTGGTCATCCTGGCAGAGGGGCAGCAGCTTTCCTACGGCACGAAGAGTGCCATGAGGTCCTTGAGGTCTCACTGCCACCCAGGTCAGGGCTGTGCTGGTCCCGACATTTTACACATGAGGACACTGAGGCTTCAGCGGCCTCTGCCCCCATCCTCCCTCAGGGATCCCTCTCAGGCCTTTGTCATTACCCACCACCCCCTCCAATTTCAGGTGCCCCACGTGGACGATGTCCTACATCGCCTGGAGGGGGTCCCGGAGGCCAACTTCTCCAGCATGGTCCAGGAGGTGCGTGCCCACCCTGTCTACCTGGCTTCTCCCCCACCGGCCAGAGAACTCACCGCGAGGAGCCTCAGTTTCCCCCTTTCGGGTGCTTGCCCAGTTGAACCCAAGACTTGGGTCAAAGCAGGGCCTCACCTATCACATGGTACCCAGGGCTGAAATCCCACGATGGATGCCAATTCTTGAGTGCACACGGTCTGGTGGGGGAAGCAGGCCCGGAACTCAGAAGCAAGAGCTAGGATCCTCAGGGTGTGGGGGCAGGGCAGCCAGGGAGGGAGCCTGCAGCTGAGCCCCAAAGGCGGGCAGGATCTCCTGGGTGGACATGGCTGTGGGGGGCCCCACAGCATGAGCCAACACCTGTGACCCAGGGCCTGGAATGGCTGAGTTGAGGAAACGGTGAGGCAGCTGTGTGAGGTGGCTGCAGCCATGGTTCCAGGAGGAAGGAGTGGGAGCTGAGGCTGCGAGAGTGGGTTAGAATGGACTCTAGGGAAATGCACCTAGCAGTCATGCGCAGGACGGATGGGAGAGGTGGGAGTCTACTGCAGCAGTCTAGGCATGAGGGCAGGGGATCAAAGGGTCATCGAGGAGCTCTGGGGAGTTGGGTCAGGATGGGCCCAGGGAGGGGAAAGAAGCCATCGACCAAGAGAACCAAGGGGAGGCTGTTTCCCAATTTCCAGAGTTGGGAGCACAAAGTGAGATCCCCTCCCTCTGGGCCTGGTGGTGTCGAGGTCCCCAAGCGGGGACCCCCAGGTATAGAGCGGGAGGCACAGCTGCCTTTTGCTCTGGCAGGAGAACAGTACCTTTAACGCCCTCCCACTCCTGGCTCCCTTGCAGTTGGCCGATGTGGTCAAAGGTAAGACCCTGCCCAGGGGCCAGGTTGGCTGCCCAGCATGCCACCCTACTCTACCCCGAACGACAGGCTCGCCGATTGAGGAGTGGGGCGGTGGGTGGAGGCTGACGGCTGTTCCTGGGCTGGGCCTGGACGGAGTGGGCCTTCTCTGTGGGTCCCAGGTGATCTTCCTGCCCATCCTCTCCCTGGGCCCCTGGGTGCCTTCCCCAACCCATAAGCCCCTGCTGCTTTGGGCAGAGCTGAAGAAGGCGGTGGCCCAGCAGCCTAAAGGGCTGAAGACACTGGCCAAAGCGTTCCCAAACTGGGAGGCGGCCTCTCGCTGGAGCCAGGCACTGGAGAAGGTGGAAAACAGTAGCCGCCCCTACCTGAAGGAGGTGCAGAGATACGAGAAATACAGGTGCTCGGGACCCTTGGGGGTGGGGGTGGAGTCGGCAGCCCAGCCTCTTGGCCACCAAGGGCCCCATTACAGTCCCCATCAACTCCTTGTTGTACGAAGCCTCTGCCTCCTTTAAGCCAAGATCCTTTACTCCTTGGGCCCCAGTGTCCCAACCTTGGCTGCATGTCCTTGAGATCTGAACCTGTGGACCCCATAGGAGCACGGGGAGGGGCGGGGGCGGGGGGGGGGGCTCAGGAAGTGCCTATATCTACACTCTAAGCCCCCAGCCTTGGCATTAGTGGCCTCACTCAGCCACTAGGTCCTATGCTAGCCTGTCCCTTCTCAGTGACACCCGCATCTTCTCTGTGGCAGGTGGATTGTGGGCTACGTTCTGTGCTCTGTGGTCCTGCTTGTGGTGGTCTGTAACCTCGTGGGCCTCAACCTGGGCATCTGGGGGCTGTCCGCCCAGCGGACCGTAGCCACTTGGAGGCCAAGGGCAGGGCTGGAGCCCGCATCCTCATGGTGTAAGAAGGGCTGTGGAGAGGGGCAGGGTCTCTCCCATCGGGCTGGCCAGGTTCCCCTGTGCCCACAGACACTCCTTCTGTCCTGGGCACAGAGAGACTGACTCGCTGGGTGGCCATGGCAAATTCGTAACCCATCTGGGCCCCATGTCCTCATCTGTATAAAAGGATTGGACTAGAGCAGGAAAGACAGCACAGAAGCACTTCCACCTCCACACCAGTTGCAGTAACCAAAGGCACTCCCACTGAGCCCAGACGGAGCCTCTTCTTCACCCGCATCCAGGCAGCACCACCATAGGAGGCGGCCCCAGAGATAGAATCCATTTGCCCTGGACTAGATGGTCTCTAAGGCCAGGGCTGTCACATTCAGTTGTGCAGGCTGCTCACTGCATAAGGGTGCCTGGCCAAAGGGGAGGGTGGGGGCTGAAATCCAGCCCATGTTTTACTCTCTAAGCTCAGGCCCCGACATGGGGCTGTGCCTACCTCCCCAAAAGCCCTACAGGTCAGCTGCACTGGTCCTGCTCAGACCCTCTAAGTTGCGCCTGCTGGTGGGTCATGGCTGGCTGTGCCAGGTGGTCCTGTTGAGGGCTGAGCTCTGGAGCTGGGCACCTCTATGTGTCCTAGGCCCAGGGGGCGGCAGTCCTGGCTCTTAGAGCAAAACAGTTACCCTTTCCTCTAGGCTGCCAGGGCCCAGAGACAGTGAGGATGGGGTGGACGGGGTGGGGACAGTCAGCAGTTCTAACTCCGGGCCAAGGTGGTGGAGTCCTCTGAGTTTTTCTCCCCAAAGGGCTCTGCCCTGGGACCAACTTGCTGACCACGCTGGCCTGGGATGCAGGTGGGACAGAGGGTCTCTCTCGCCTCAACCCCCACCCTTCTGCCTTCTCCAGTGGGGCCAACCTCAGCTTCCTCTTCGCTGCGCCCCTCATCCTCCTCGTCTTCTCCACCTTCCTGGTGGGCGGCAACGTGCAGACGCTGGTGTGTCGGAGCTGGGAGAGCGGGAAGCTCTATGAGGTGGGTGGAGGGAGATATGAGCAGAGAAAGAGGGTGGAAGGAAGTGGGGGCCAGAGGAGGCAAGAGGGAGAGGAAGGGGCAGTGATGAAGACAGCTCAAGAAAGACAGAAAACCACCAATCGGTGAGGAGTGGGAGCAAGAGCCCGTGAGTGCCTGGACTGATGCCCAGCCCCAGGGCGGGGACTCCCAGACCTCAGCCCTTCTTTCTCCTAACTCTGAGTCTGCGAACTGGGGGTCCTGGTTCCTCAGTGCTTCTAGCAGGTAATCCCAGACTCTCTGTTGCAGACCAGGCTGTCCCCCTCCCCAAGATTTGTGGGAAGGGTCCCTGCTGGGTGTTAGGGCCCAGGGTGATTTGAGTTCGAGGCAGGTTTGGGCCGGAGTCAGAGGGGTGTGTTGCCTGCTAAGCCAGGATGTCGTGGGACTGGGCCCTTGGCTGGGACAAGCTTGCCCCTGCCCACTCCAGGCCATTTCTCTCTGACCCATTTCCAGTTTGTTGACACCCCGGGGAACTTGCCCTCGTCCATGAACTTGTCCCACCTTCTTGGTCTGAAGAAGAACATCAGTATCCTCCTGGCCTATCAGTGAGTGGGGCTGGGACAGGGTGTGAGGAGGAGCTGAGGTGGGGGTCCCATTAGGGTGACACCAGCCCCCTGGCCATCCCCTCTCTCATCTTTGACGCCCATTGTCTCTCCTCCTCCCCGCTCCTCCCCAGGCAGTGCAGGAAAGGGGCTCCACTCTGGAGGGTCCTGCAGCTCAATGACTCCTATGACCTGGAGCCGTACCTGGATCTGAGCCAGGTGAGGGAAACTGAGGCAGCGGGGACCCTTCCTACAGATGCCCCTCCTCCTGTCTTGCCTCTGTGGTGGGACCATCTCCTTGAACCTAAGATGTCTGCAAGAGCCATTGAGGTGCCTCAGGTCCAGAGGCAGCTCGGGGCCTGGCCAAGGGCTAGCGCCCAGGAGGTTTCTGGGATGTGCAGGTGGGCGGGTGAGTGCCTGGGGCCGTGACCAGCTCTGAGCATTGTTCTCAGGAAAATGACACAGCTGAGGCGGCAGTAGGGAAGGCTGGTGGCAGTGAGGAGGGGGCTGAGGGTGTGTCCTGCTGGGACAGGCATTGGCTGGTACGCTGCAGTCGGGATGGGGTGACAGTGAAAATGATGGTGGTGAAGTTGGGTACCACTAGGCATGGCCCCTGGCTGAGCTTACACTGTCAGTCGGTGGCAGGACTCAATCCCTCAGCCGCTGGACGTTGCCGGAGCTTGGTGCATGGAACTGGGGGAAGGATCCGTGCCCATAGAAACGGTCCTGGGACAGAGCAGGAAGAGCTACTTCCTGAGAGCTGTTGGGGAGGGGTTCTCCTGAGGGTGGACACTCTCTCCGTTCCTCTCTCCACACTGAGGGAGGTGAGGGAGAGGCGCCTGACTCCCAGGCCCCCAGGGAGCTTTCCCCAAGCATGTCCTGGGAACCCCCCACCCCTGCCCCGAGCGTGCTGACTCCTGATTCTCCATCCAGAAAACCTTCCGACTCCTCTGTAACCCACCACTCATTCTCAGCCCACAGGGCAGCATAGTACCCGAGTCCTGCAGCCAGCATAGCCAGGGGGTCCAGGTGACAGTCCCAACTCCGTACCTTAAACTTTGTAAGCGGGGGCCTTAGCTTTCTCCTCCTCCAGGGTCTCTAACCAGACAGGGTGCCCACAGAGCAGGTGATGCCGGGCTCTCAGTCACGATAGACACTGCCCGTGGAGGGAGGCTGGCCAGGGAGGGTGTCAGCAGGGGCCTGGCAGAGGGGCCCTGCTCTGCTGGCTGGGAGTCATGGCTTTTGTGGGGAGGGGTCTCAGCCGGTCCTGAGAGGGGAGGGTCCAGCTCACAGACGAGTCTGGACATTAGGGCCTCAGGTTCAGGGGGACTGGGCAGTCTTTGGGGGCCGTCTGGCAACATCGAATGTGACCTTAAGAGGGCTTGTCCTCCAAGAGCTGGTGAGGCAGGGATAAGTGTGGCAAGGTGTGCTTTGCAGGGCACCAGGAGAGCTCTGGCCGCCTTCAAACACGTCCTGCACCTGCTTGTGTGTCACGGATGCCTCCGAGAAAGAATTAGGCCTTTCTCCCCCTGGGAAGGCAGGGTGGTGGGCAGGAGGGGACCAGGGCTGGGCTCCATTCTCTAACCTGCTATGAATCCTCGGGCAGGTGAATGCTCCTCTCTGGCCTCTGTCTCTCATCTGTTAAACATGGCTGAGTGTCACACCCTTTAAATCTCCTCCAGCAATGGCTGGGAAATGCTGGGTGTCCCTTTTTAAACTGTGGTCTGGCTTAAGTGACTGTGTTCATTCATTAAGTCATTCAATCATACATCCATCCATTCACTTCTACACATTCAACACATTTGTCCTGCGCCCACCACATGTGAGCCCTGCTCTAGACTCCGAGGGTTTGGTTCAGAATGGGCGGAGGGGGCGCTGCTCTCACAGAGCTGATGGCAGTGGCAAGTGCACACATACACAATGTCACAGGGGCAGGTGCTCTGAAGCCCTGACACGTGGTGATGTGAAAGGTGGGCGGGGGAAGCTATTTTACACTGGATGCCAGGGAAGGTCTGTGTTGCTGTCCAATAGCCAGACAGGTGCTTGAGGGGGGCTGGGTATTGGTAGGGATGGGTTGGAGGGAGAGGGTGGGTAGGAAGCAGAGGTCTGTGGGGGCCTGTCTGGGGCTGGGAGGATCCAGCATGGAAAGCCCTGGTGACCCCCCATCGAGGACAGCAGCTCTGGGGCCCTCACTCAGAGCCTGGGCATGCCCCCACCCTGTCCCCTCTCTCCAGTACTCGGCCAAGCTGGAGCAGGAGTTGCAGAACCTCAAAATGGACATGGAGAGTCTGGACCTGCTGAGCCCAGCTGGCCTCCGGGACCTGAAGGCCCTGCAGAGCAGTGGGCTTAGTAACATCCACTACCCTGGCTTCCTCATCCAGGTCAGCTGTGGGCCCCTCAGGCCAGACCGCTGCAGAACAGAGGGGCCCGAGGAGGAACTGGAGGGGTGCATCTCGCCTTGTCCCGGCCCTCCATCTTTTCTCAACTCCCCATGTCCCTGGGGGCGGGGGTCCCCACACCACGTGCCCCAGGCCTGTCCTGGTGTCCCCATCCTGCTGGGCTGGAGTGAATGCCCCCCACCCCCAGAGTGTGCCGCTGTCCGTGGTTCTGAACCCTCTGCTGTGGCAAATGATGGTGGGAAGTCTCCTCTTCCTTGGGTTACACCAGAGAGTGCCTCACTTTTTTCTTCTAACTGAATGGAGAATGGTGTATGTCAGTCACAGATTCAGTCAAACCTGCTGATGGTCCCTACTGGTGTGCAGGACTTTTGCAAAGACTGGAAATTCAGGGGAGGGGGAAGCAGGGCTCATCCCCTCCTGGCCCCTCCATCTGCCCCCAGACCGAGAAGCCCGTGGTGAACACCAGTGTGGAGAAGCTGGCCCACGACCTGGAAGGACTGGCCCACTCCCAGGTGAGAAGGGAACAGGGACCCCGCCGGGCAGGCAGGAGTCGGGGAGTGGCCTGTGCCGTGGGAGGGGGTGAGAGTGGTTGGACTGGGGAGGGGGCGAGGGCACAGGCAGGGGATTGAGGCTCCTGCCAGTGAGGCTCCGCACCCCCAGCAGGGCTGAAGGGTTTTGCAGTGTCAGTTCTGACTCAAGTTCGGCCACCAATTGGCTGTGTGGCCTGGGCCTTGTTTATTCAGTCTGTGAGATCAGATGAACTGACTGGTCTGACATCACACTGTGGAGCAAGTGTTTGTAAGTTCTCAGTGCTCGTGGGGGCCACTGGGACAGGTGACATGAGGACAGTGCGATGGAGCAGATATCATGACAGTTGCCCCTCAGGAGTTTCAACTCCACTGGGAAGATAGCACTTTGTATTTAGAAATATTTAGAGTTTAAAAGTTACTTTCCAGATAGGTTGTAGACCCCACCCAGCAGATGCCTCTCAGACAGGTTTTGTGGCTGATGTAGGGATGCCCAGCAAGCTAGCAGTAGACCTTGAACTTGAGCTTAGGCCTCCAAACCCAGATCCGGCCCAGGAGTTCAAGGAGGCCTCAGTGTTTTCATCTGAGCCTGGTGTGCACACCCCTCAGCATGTTGGTGGAACAGTTTGGTAAAGGACATGCTGGCGAGGGCTGCCCAGTTCTGGGCAGAGGCCATTCCGTCCCTGTCTCCCCTCAGGGCAATTCTGTGCTGGGGAAGCAACTGCAAGAGGAGGCCCAAGGGCTCAGAACCCTCTACCAGGAGAAGGTCCTCCCCCAGCAGAGCCTCGTGGTAAGCTGGCGGCCCAGGGAGCTTGGGGCCTGCGGAGGAGGGCAGGCAGGCAGAGGGCACGAACGGGGAGGCAGGCATCGGATCCTGCTCTTGCCCTGACCAGCCCCATCTCTCCTCCACAGGCCAAGCTCAACATCAGTGTCAGGGCCCTGGCATTCTCAGCACCAAACCTCCAGGTGGCTCTGGAGACGGGAGGGTGGGGAGGAGCAGGTGGGCAGCAGAGGGAGGGAGGAGGAGGCCCGGCTGACTTGGGACCTCACCTGCTCTGCCCGGTCCCACGGGAGGTTGAGGGCTGGGTGGGAAGATCTGGGGTGGGTGAGCAGATCCCCGAGGACCACTGTCTGGGCCGCTGTGACCTTAGGGCCTAACACCCCTGCCCCAGGCTGAGCGTGCTGTGTGCTATGTGCTGAGTTAATGAGTGAGGCCGCCCCGGACCGGGCGGCACACTGAGTGAGCCCGTCTCCCCTCCCCAGCGGGAGACCTCAGGTGTCCTGGACAGGGTCACCCGCCTGCAAGGAGAGCTGCCTGCCTGGGCCGCCCGTATCCTGAGGAATGTGAGTGAGGGAGGGCAGAGGAGTGGCGGCTGCCTCAGAGCCAGGGGAGGGCCGAGGGGCTGAGGCACACATGGCTCCCACCCCGGCCTCTCCTCCAGCCCTGTCCTCTCACCGTGGCTCCCAGGAAAGCCAGCTGGGCCTGACCTGATGGTGCCACGCATGGGTACTGGGTGCCGATTCCTGGGACTCCTGCCAGCCAGGGCTCCTCTCCTTCTTGCAGGAAAGCGAGTGCTTCCTGGCCCGGGAGATGGGCTACTTCTCTCAGTACGTGGCCTGGGTGAGAGAGGAGGTGAGTGGGGCACAGGCCCCTCCTGGCCTCAGAGCCACTGCCGATCACTCGCGTCCAGCGGTACCAGCCATTCACTCTGCTCTACCCTCTTCCACCCCAGAGCCCCCGGGGATGCCCTGGAGGTGCCTTGGAACCCAAACTCCCAAACCTGGCATCCATGCCCCTGCTCACTAGCTGGGCTCTGCACACCCACCCTCCAGGCAGCCCTTCTCTGAGGCCTGAGTGTGAGCGGGACTGGCCACAGGTCCCGAACGTGCCGTCCACACCTGGTCCCATGCCCTTCCTCGTGCTGGCCCCTTGCCCATCCTGTCTGAGTCCAACCCAGCCCGCAGCCTGCCGCCTCCTGTGCTGCCTCTCCAGGGAGAGTGTGACTGCAGGCACAGTGCTGGGCACACAGTAGGCGCTTAATACAGGCTGGGGCATGATGGAAAGGGCAGGAGCTGAGCTGTGTGTCCTTCCATCTCTGTGTTCCTGTTTCCATGTGTCTGTCCATGTGATCTGCATCCCTTGTCTCCCCCATGTGTCCCCGGACCTGTCTGTGTCTGTCAACCTCTCTCCCTGACTGTGGGGTGTGCACCTGTGGGTCTGGATGTATCTGCCTCATGTGGTGCACAGGTGACTCAGCACATCGCCACCTGCCAGCCCCTCTCTGGAGCCCTGGACAATGGCCGCGTGATCCTGTGTGACATGATGGCTGACCCCTGGGTGAGTGCTGGGGCGCTCATACGGGCTCGTGGACATTAAGGCCCCTGGGGGGGGGTGCATGAGCAGGACCTGAGGCGAGGCAGGGTCCCTGCCCCAGGCCTGCACTCTCAGGGAGCACTGCCTCGTGCCCCTCCCTGAGGCTGTGGGGGCCTGCGGTACCGAGCTGCCCAGCCCAGCCCCAGCCCCGGCGAGCTAACCCCACACCCTCTGCTCCAGAACGCCTTCTGGTTCTGCCTGGCGTGGTGCACCTTCTTCCTGGTCCCCAGCATCATCTTTGCTATCAAGACCTCCAAATACTTCCATCCCATCTGGAAACGCCTCAGGTGAGGGGCTGCCAGCACTGTGGGGGCAACAGGGGCTCATACCCCTCCTGAGACCCCCCGCCAGGCAGAGGAGGTGCCTGCTGGTCCCGAGGAGCCACCCTTGCTCCTTGCTACACCCACCCGCCAGGCATTGCAGCTCAGACTCCGCTCCCCGACCCCCCTCGCCCCCGCCCCCGGAGAGCATCTGAGGCAGGAATGTCAGGGCTCTGGGCTTGTCCCCATTGGGCTGGGGTTGTGTGGGGTCCCTCACTCTCTCTGTGATGCCACAGCTCCAGCAGCTCTGAGGAGACTCAGCTCTTCCACATCCCTCGGGTCACCTCCCTGAAGCTGTAGGACCCCCTTGGGTGAGTCACCCCTTAATTCCTTGGTGCCAGGGCAGAGGTTTGGGGGAAGCCCTGCTCTGGTGCATGCGCCGCCATCCTCCTCCTGTCCCGGAGCCAGGCCCTCTCGACAACTGGGGGCTCCAGGGGGGCAGGCAGGCAGGCGCTGAGACTTGGTGGGGTCTGAGTGTGGGGTCTGGCCCACCCAGCAGTGGCACCGATAGGCCCTGGCATGTACCCCATCCCCCTCACTCACCTCCTTCCTTCTGAATCCACGACAGGGTTGCTGGCTGCAGCGTGATGCTGGGCTGCCGCCTTCCGCCTTGACTTGGCCTGGACCAGAGGATCCGCCGCTCTTGCCCCCGGAGCCCAGGCCAGCGTCCAGGCCTGGGCTGTCCCCCACTTCCAGCTTCCCACCCCCGTCTGTGCATGACCCCCTTATTCATTCTCAAAAGCTCAATTGCTGCTGAGCTAGAGCCCTCAGGTTCTTCCAGGCGTCCCTCCCCCTCCTCTTAGCAGGTCAGCACCGAGAAGACCCTTTCTCAGCACCTTGGGTGGGACAGAGGCCCTGCCCACCCCCTCTGTCATCAATCACCCCTCTCCCTGCACATGCCCCCCCAACGCTCCTCTCCCCTAACCCTCCCCTCCCCCCCTTTCCCCAGCGTTGCTCTGCCCCCTCCTCAGTCACATGTTACATCCTCCCCCAGGGAAGCCCATTCCCCTTTGTCCTTTCCTTAGCTTATCCCACCACCTTGCTGGACCCAGGGACCCCTCTGCCTGACCAAACTAATCAGGTAAAACCACTGAGCAGGCCAGGGCCACATGGCCAGGCCTGGGCTGGCTGCCGCATGGCTTCTGAGCCCACTGCTGCCTGGAGACCTGTACCCTCCACAAGCCCCGGCCTGGATTTCCTGGCCCCCCAGCCTGTGTAAAGCCAGAGCCCGCTGCCTGCATCCTTGTTTGGAAACAGTACTGTTCCAAGCAACTCTCCGAGTATTTGTTTCGGGGGAAGGAACCTGGGATCTGGGCCAGAGCAGGGCCGCCCCCTCGGCTCCCCAGGAGGTAGCTCTTTGACAGCCCTCACCCAGCTTCCCCAGCAGGACCTGGTGGCCACAACAGGGTTTTGCACTGTGGCCCTTGCTCCTTCTGTGCATGTGGCCTGGGGGCACCCTGGTCCACCCTGTGCTCTCTTTACACGCTGAGTCCCGGGTTCCAGAAGAAGGGAAGAGGAAGCGGAAAGAGGAGGAGAGATAGGTTCCCTGAACCAATCAAGTGCTCTCACTTCCTAAGCCTTGGCTTTGGGTCCGGAACACTAGGTCTCCCAGGTGAGGGCCCTGTAAGTGGTCGGTGTTTAATAAGTGTGGAGAGGAGAACCCAAGGCCTCTGGTCACAGGCATCAGGGATTCCCCCAGCAGTCAGCAGGTGGGCAGGGGCCCACTCCAGGAGCAGGCAGACCCGGGTCCATGTGCTCGTTCTAACGCTTGTTAGTGGGGGCACCTCAAACATGTTACATGGAGGTCCTGGGCCTCACTTTCTCCATGTTTAAAATGGGAGCAGAGTCATATAGCCTCCTCATAGGGCTGGGGAAAATGTGACAATGTGTGGAAAGCCCTTGGCAGGGGCCTGGCACAAAACATGCTCAATTGCTGCTACGTTTTGCCATGACTGAATCAGGGACAGAGCTGGGGCTGGGCAGGAGCAAGGGTAGAGGAGGTGGGCCCCTGTGCAAAGGCACTTTAAGATTGTGGTCTGCTGAGTTTCGGGAGTGTCTGTGTTTAATTGCATCTTACAAACCAACAACAACGTTGGTATTAGGAAGTAGCATGGTGCATACACAATGTATTGTCACTGTTGTAAGCACACTCACACAAACATCCCAGAATGTAGCACAATCGCCTCTTTTTGGCTTTTCCCAGAGGTTTTTTTTTCTCATTTCTTAACTGTTGTCTCGTTGCAGGGGAAATGTAGCCCCTGTGTTTTAGCAATGAAATAGATGGGATTAAAAAGAGAAACAAACTATTAAAAAATAACTCCCAGCTCTCTATCAAAATTGCCTATCTTATCTTTGATATATTTGAGCATATTAAGCATAGTTATTTTGAAGTTCAGTAACTCCCTAACATGGAGCCTTCATGAGTCTGTTTCTAGTGTCTGTTGTTTCTCTTGTTTTTTGCTAGTTTTGTATTGTGTCCTCACATGCTTGGTGATTTTTGGTTGAGTACCACATATTACATCTGAAACTTGTAGAAATAATTTGAGGTAGGATAAAGTTTTCTTCCCCCACGAGGTTATGTTTACATCTGGCAGGTGGCTGGGATTTAGCAAACCAGGATGGCTTTCTACTTTCTGGGGCTGAAATGACTTGCAGTCCCTCGGAGGGCTGACCTGTTTCCATTCGTATTCTGGGAGTGAAGCTCTCTGGAGTCCCAACCCAAGACATGCAGGGTTTGCCAGGCACCCCTTCTCGTGGTGGGGCTTTTACCTCCTTTGCCCCAGAGGCTAACAGCTCTGCTCAGCAGCTCACTATCTTTTAGGACCAGTGGGACCCTAGAGAGGAAGTAGCTCCAGATGCCAGGCACACGTCTCTGGGTTCCTTCCTTTCCCTGATCTTGGGCCTGTGATTCCTTACTGCCTTGTTTGGCCCTCAATACCCCAAATCAGACTAAAAATATATCGGAGCAGTTTTTAAGTTGACCTCAGTTGGGGATTTAGTCCACATGTCCTAGTCCACCATGATCAGAGTAGCAATCCTGAAAAAATAGACGTGATTTCCCCTGTGAATTGGGAAAAGCCTGTTGCTGTTTGAACTTGGTGTCCAGAACCCTTGGCCCAGCCATTCAAACACTTAGTTATAAGTACACTCACACTCACATCCCAGAATGTAGCACAATCGCCTCTTTTTGGCTTTTCCCTGAGAGTTTTTTTTTCCCTCCTCATTTCTTATCTGTTGCCCTGTGCAGGGGAAGTGTAGCCCCCGTGTTTTGGAATCACCGTAAGCTCTGATTTCTTGGGGAGAGAAGTTGGCACTTGGCAGGGGACAGAGAGACAGAAATAGCCACAGAGAAAAATATATTACACATTTCCCTGATTTTAAAATGCTGGGATCCTAAAATGTGAATCCTAATTCACATGTGAACTGAGTCCCTTGGTTCCCACAGGCTCATCTGTGACCAGGACACGCCCTGAAGGGCGTGGGGACTGTCCTTGTCTCATGTTGAGCAAAAGAAGCTCGGAGAAGCTGGGTGGCTGGTTCAAGGTCTCACCAGTAGACCTTGTTTGGGATTCAGGGCCCCTAGTCTGGTGGCCCTAGAGGTTCCTTCCTGTGCACGCTGCCGGTCCCCATTCCCTGTGGGTCTGAGACGAGGCCCTGACCCCAAGGAGATTTCTGCAAGTATCTTTGCTGTCCTGTGGCAGGAGGGATGGCTGATTGGACGTTCTGGGAGTTCTATCAGACTCCAGCCTGGCCATCCCGGAGCAAAGGCCCTGTGAGCCATGAGTGGCAGATTCTGCCAAAGAAATGCTATATGGGCCAGGCGTCCGAGTCCCACCTGGGTCTGAGGTCCCAGGTGGCTGGATAAGGCAGTTCTGGCTGGCTCAGGTGTGCAAAAGAAAGGGACAGAGACATTTATGGAGCTCTGGTATGCACTAGCAGCTGTGCTAAGCACAGGGGAGCTAGAGGCCTGCTCAGGCTACCAAAGGGGACAGAGACATGGAGCGATGGAATGTACACACCACAAATGTGCTAAGCACTTTACATGAATTAACTAAGAGGCCGACGTGGCTATTTACCTAGTTATGGCTGAGAGAACTAAGGCACTGAGGCTGATTGCGGGCGGAGTAGAAAGGGCACCACTTCCCCAAAGCAATCACCTGATAATTGGGGCATTTCCGGTGATATCTGAATTCTCTGGGGTCGGCCTGAGGCCCTGCTCTGGGTGATCACAGACAGACAGTGCCCTCCACCATCCCAGAGCCAGGCCCTCCCTACACTTAACTCCCAGCGCCCTGTCTCCAGGCCTGAATGCCAGGGACTGAGCCTGTACACTGGGCCTGCCCTGTCCACACACCAGGTGCTGCTGGAATGATGCCCTTTCCCGGGGCCCACAGTTCTCTCTTGTGCTGCCTGGACGTGCCCGTCTTGGAGCAGTTGGCGCTCCCCATCTTACAGACACGCACTGCGCACCGCAGCGCCTGGTGAGAAGAAGGCGGGTGTGTAGAGACGACGTCACCCCTGACCTCTGCCACAGGGATGCAGAACTGAGGCACCTGAACCCCCAACACACGGAGGGGACCCAGGAGTAGGTGTTGAGGTTAAAGGAGGGGGTTTGGGGTAGGTGAGCCGAGCCCAAATAGATGGGGTGTCTTCACTTCAAGCCAGAAGGAAAGGGGCTTACAGAGAGTCCCCTGAAGCTTCATGATGTCCCCATAGTTTGAGAAACCCAGTGGATGACGTCTCACCCCCACCTGCTGTTTTGCTGGTCCAGATGAGGGTCTCCTGAGAGGACAGGCAGCATGGTCCTCAGGCCCAGCCTGGAGGGTAAACAGAGCTCAGCAGAGACGGTGGAGCTCCTTGGGGTGTCGGGGCTGCAAGGGGTGTCGGGGCTTCTTGGCTCCCCTGAGGCCCCTGTGAGAGACCCTAGTCAGGGGATGGTAGAGATGCACCCAGCAACGGCCAGGCTCTGAGGACTCCTGGGGTGCCCACAGGAGAAGAGATACAGCTTTAAATCTCTGCCAAACCCAGAGTGCAGTTCCCGAGAGCTCCCTCTGGAGGCCGATGCTGCCACTGCAAGGCCCAGCCCCACCTGAACTGGGTGGGGGGGGGGGGGGGGGCCCC